CTTTGCAGTTTCTCTATAAATTTAAAATCATTCCAATATAAGAAGTTAATTTTTTAAGTTATAGTTCAGTATCTGCCACACAGATGTGTGGTCTGCTCCTGCCCCAGAGCCTTTGCACTTGCTGCTCTCTCTGTCCAGAGGGTGCGTCTCAGGTATCCACGGGGTTCACCCACATCTCCTTTATGTGTCTGCTCAAATGTCATCTTCGCGAGACCTTCCCTGGTCACCATATCCAAAAGTATAATCCCCACCTCCCACTTGGAATTCCTCACTTCTCTTTCCCTGCTTTATTTTCCTCCATTGCATTTATGACCATCTACCAAATTGTTTTTCATGTCTTATTTGTTATATCTGACCCCACTAGAATGTAAGCTCCTCTAGGACGGGGATTTTGGTCTTTTAACTCACTGAACTATCCCCCAGGCCCCAGAAGAGGGACCGATAAATGTAACTTTTCAATGACGGGTTGAATGAAAGAAGCCAAGCAGGGAAATGACAATCAGAGAAAGAAAGCCAACAACAAAAACAACAAAAAAGGGAGGCAGGGACTGCCACACCAATCTAGCTTTGCTGATGGATGATAAAAATCTACAGCTTAATTACTGATGACTAATGAGATGCAGGCTCAGCTGTGATTTCACAGCACGAAGCCACGTCTCCTTCATCTACATGCATCCTTCCTTCTTGCACACAATAAGCACTAATAATTGAATGGCAAGCTTGCCTGACTAAAGAGCAGAGGGGAGTTAATAAAGTTGGAGCCTTGATGGGGAACTGTGGTTGACCCTCATAAAGGAGAAGGTGGTTTTTAAAATATGTTAGTTTCAACACAGGAAAGTAAAACATCATCCATCTTCAAAGACAATTGAGTCTCCATTAAGTATTGGTACTACAGTTATCTTAAAGCAGGTACCATTTTGTCATCATGGAAAAGGCCTCTAACCACACTATCACCACCACATCCATGTTCCAATTGTCAAGAAGGATTCGCCGAATGGGGAGGGGGTGAGTAGGGAGGACTGCTTCCTGTTAGAACAAAGCCAGTTGAGAAGGAAGCTATGAGGCAAGGACTCACCATAAATCATCCCCTGTCATGTCCCCTGGGTTCTGCTCTTAGCTAAATGAGTCATACCACACAGTTGGATAACACTGACCATAAGCACAGTGCCACTGATTAACAGGGACTGTGAGCACTGTGCCAAGTGATTTAAAGCCATGTCATCATGTGGGAGAACTTTAGCTGCAATTCTCTTTCTTCTTCCCATATTTAAGGTCAACATAGTGGCTTTGACCCTTTGTGTTCTTTAACGAGATGCTTTCACTCTGCCACAGTTATATTGCACAGTGAGTTGCCACAGAACCACGCTACTCCCTGTTGGCATTGACCAAGCAAACTCCACAGATGCTATTTTTGTGCTACTGAATATGTGCAGTTGTCATCAAATATTTATGAAAGAACCCCTGCATCAAGAGCAACCTATTAGATGTTCAGAAAATAAAATGAAACATAAGACGTAGTCTGTCCCCAAGAGGTTTACTATCTAAGGGGAGCCAAGTCACAGCAGGCAAAAATGGCTGTCCTGGACGAGTGCCAGTCCTCGCTGAGAAACTGAGTAAACACAACCTCTTTGACCTGGGATGATGTCATTCATACAGATTGCTATTCAGACTGAAACGAGATGAAGCAGTGTGGCATTACAGAACAGGGAGACCCAGGTGTCAGTACCAGCTCTACCTACCATGAAATCACACGGAAAAGTCCTCTAGTGTCCCTGGGTGCCACTTTCTTAATTTGGGGAATGGGAGCTTTTTTACCTCTTTGGCTTCACAGATGGCTGTCTGAAAACCTCCCCCATTTCCATTTACAACATGCCATGATTTAAGAAGCTTTGACCTGGAGAGAGAGTTTAAAGTGATCATTAATTATTCTCTCCTTATCTCACACACACACACACACACACACACACACACACACACACAGATGTGTTTGTCTAGCTCTTTCTATATATGGTCAGATTTAAACAAACCTGGCTTGAATCCCAGCACAGCCAATTCTTCTTCTTTAGGCTCATTAATATATTTATCATGCCCTACGGGTTGGTTCAGTACATGCCCAAATATGGTTTATCTATATCTCTTGCTTTCCTATCCTCATTTATCAGTATTTTGCTTAACTCACTGTTTAATCAAATGAGAAGACTGAGAAAAATGAAAGATCCATCTCTCCCTTTATTTTACTGCTGCATGTGCAGTGGATGCCACTTCTTATACAGCAGGTTCGGATACAGTTCTGATCAAATAGCCATTACCAGTAAAACCTGGTGACCAGAAGGTTTTCATTCCCCTGACCTCACTCCTACATGAAGATAATTTACAACACTTCAAATAACGACACTCTAAGAAGTTGGTCTTATAACTGTGCCTAGGGCCCAGTTTCAGGAGTTCCTGGTGAGAGGGAGGCTCACTTTTCACTCAACATCTTTTTTTTTTACTATTTACAGATTTGCCATGGGCTTATGTAAGTTTCATTACCACAAAAATTAAAAAGCAACATTGGCCAGCATGGATTGTGCATTGACTATGGGCCAGGCGTTTTATATGCATTGCCTCATCTAATCCTCCCAGTGACCCTAACCCAGCTTTTTTACGTTTCTCCACTTTACAGATGAAGAAACAGGGGGTTAAAAACAGGTTCGAGGACACACATCCACTGGCCCTACTGACACCTCAACAGAATAAAATTACATGATAGGAATAAAAACGGTGTGAGAAGTTACGTTACCGCATAAAGGCGAGGCGGAAATGCGCTAGCAGTAAGGGCGTGTGTTTGTTAGGCGGACGCTGGCCAGGCTTGAATGTTAAGTCAGGCTGAACTGGAGGCTTGGCTCCAGCCTCCTAATTCTTTGATTTTCACTTCTTCGTTCTACGGCTTCCACTTTCAACCCTCCTGTTAAAGGATTTGACTGGAATTGGAACTTTAAAACATGGGGGAAATGTTAGCAATGGATAGCTGGTGACCCCAGTTACCAAAACTGGCCTCTCCATTCAGTCAATCAGAAGACCAGCATTGTGTTATTTGTGATGTCTTTCCTTCTCACACCCACAGAAATGAGTGTGGACCTTTGGTGAAAACAAGACATATTGGGGAACAGCCTCAAGTTTCCAGGTGTATAGGCTGGGTCAGCTGAGCCAGCCCTCAGATCAAAAATCAGGATTTTAAAGGCTACGAGTTGGAAACCAGCACATCAAGGATCTGATGTTTTTCAACATATCACCTCTTTTCAAACACCTGGCAGATGGCAATAAGCTTCAGCAGGGACAACAATTATCTTAGCAACAGATATTAATATAGCAAATGCTTTCTGTGCTTCTCAGATTATTTTTTACTTTGTTTAATTTTCATATCTAGTTGAGACAAAAATTAGGGGGACTGGGTATGTTTATCTGCACTATATATAGCAGAGCTCGTTTCCAGTGGCAAGGTGCAATAATTCCCACACTAGCACGAACCTCAGAGGCACCACATGCTCATTTTGTGATGTTTTCCCAATCCTGTCATTAGTTCTAATACAAAATGACCACAGTACTTCCCAGGAAGCTCCCAATTTGTGAACAGATTGGCCTTTCAGGATGTATTCCCCCCTCCAATCACTTTTCTTCCACCAGCATTTATTGATGACTGTGTGCCAGATATCCTTCTGGAGATGGAGCTAACAACAATAACAACAACAGAAAAAATAGGCAAATAACTTATATTATGGTCCAGTTAGGGGTGAAGTGAAATAACAAAATAGGAAAGTGAGTTATACGAGTAGAGTATGTTAGAAGGTGATGAGAACTATGAGAAAAATAAAGCAGGGATTGCTGAGGTGGGAGGGACTTGCAAGTAAATGGAGTTCTTACCGAAGGCCTCACTGAGAAAGTGCCTTTTGTACAAAGACTTGAAGAAGACGAGAGAATGTGCCATGTGTGGAGATCAGGAGGACAGTTGTTCCAAGCTGAGGGACCCAGTTGGTGCAAAGGCCCTGAAGCAAGAGTATGTCAGGCCTGAGGGGGAAGACCGGCAGGTTGGAGCAGAGGGAACAACAAGAACTGGAATAGTAGCTGATGTGCTCAGAAAGTCATGAGGGCCAGATCCTGTAGGGCTTCACCAAGTTTTTTAATGACTTTGGCTTTTACTCATAAGAGGAGGAGCCACTTAAAGGTTTGAAGAGAGGAGTGATAACAATCTGACTTCAGTTTCTCATAGGAATAATATAATTGTGGGACAGGTTCCCAGAATGACTCACCAAAGCCTGTTAAACCCATATTGCCATTGAACTAAGGTGCCAGTCAGACTCTGGGGAGCTGAGGTCAGAGCACTGGACTTAGATCCAGGAGGTAGGGATTTGACCCATAGCTCAGCTGGGTGACATTGAGCACATCAGTTAACATCTCTGAGCCCCATTTTGCTCACTGGAGAAATAAAGATAAACAATACCTGCCCCATGGTTTGCTCACTTGAGGAACAAGTGGAAACGAAACATAGATGCACTTTGTAGACTGTAAAACACTCTATAAACATCAGGAGGGGTGGCCACAGCAACAGTGGTTCTGGTTATATCATTCTTATTTCAGGGAAAATGAAGTCCAGGACCTAAGTCCAAATGCCAGGAATGCAACCTTCTCTTTCTTCCCTTTCCTTTTTTTAAATAGCCATGGCAATGGGCCTCTGTTTCTACAGCACTAGAAGTCGAGGAGAAAGACAGGGCCTCACTGATCTCAAAAGAAGGTGCCATCTGGGCTCCCAGCGGATCAGTCATAATGTACAGGGTGTTTGTAGACGCCCTGGTTGCTGGGGTTGCCCTAGTGGAGCATCACAGCTCCCCGATGTGCGCCCTGTGAACTGCACACCACCCCCACCCCCCACCCTCTGCCCCCAGTGGGGTGGCAGGGAGGCGGGCTGTCCTCAGATGGGCAACTTCTCCAAGTGACCACAGCTGTCTTCTCCTTCCCACCAGGCACTCCTCCTACGGAAGGCTTCTGGATGACCACGACTACGGGTCCTGGGGAAACTACAACAACCCTCTGTACGACGACTCCTAACAAAGGAACATGGCCTGGGGCGAGGGAAAACGGCTCTTTATTTATAAGTGCTTAGCCAGTAGATTTATAACAAGTACCTGATGCGCATTGAGCGACAATCTTACAGCCCGTTTTATGGTTTGGTTATTTCATTTTCCTCCTTCTTTGGCTACTACAACTTCTTCTTTCTGGTACAAAAAGAACCATATTTAATGGTGTGTGGAGGCTGACTTGCAGCTGAAATGGGCCAACCTTGGGCATCCAGGCCAGAACACCACGATGGAGGCTTCTGTACCCACCACGGGACCCACTGCAAGGACTGAAGAAGAGGAGTCCACTTGTTTTGTCAGGGGTTTTAGGGGAACTTGTTGTCTGTGGTATTTCTTAAAACTTTCATTTAGGAAATGATATTAAATCTCCAACAGTGGAAAGGAAATGAGTACTGGGAGGATTTCACCCTGCAGATGAGGAAGTAGGGATTTCTCAGAGTCTTTTTCAAGCTCTATTCATCTGGTCGTGTCTGACAGGACCCCTGCTTGGCTCTACAAAATGCACTGAGCTTCTTAGCCGCCTAATTAATGAAAGAGGAACCCAGCAGGTGCCCCCGAGGAGGCCATCAGGCAGAGGGGCAGAGTTGCCGGCTGCTGTCAGATCTCAGCGTGCCTTCTACCTGTTCTCTCCTCCAGGCCTCCTGTCCCTGCCAAGGATGCCTGTGCTAGTCCACAGCAGCCGGCATCCCAGCCCATAAGCTTTCTGTGGAGTTGCGGTTCCACGGAAGCTGGGAGATGAGCTGAGAGAAGAGAAAGCAAGAGGCGTGTGGAGGGAGTGTGCAGTGGGGGGGGTGGAGGAGGGAGGGGGCTGGCATGCACTGAGCGCCTCGTTAGGTAAAGTGGGAGTCAGTTCTCAGTGACTGTCGGAGGTGTTCACTGCGTGGAGGAGGCCATAGATTCCCTGCTTTATACCCACAAAGCCACTGGTTCACTGCCTTACTATCTGTTTGGTAATGGAGGTATACTGTGTTTAAACAAAAAAATAAGACACTAGTCTATCTGTAATTGCTCAGTGAGGCATTTTCATAGTAAACAGACACAGTGATCAATCCATTTGTTATTCCCATACACTCACCTCACTACCATATTTTGCAGTGTATAATGTGCACTTTTTTGCCCAAATATTTGAAGGAAAAAATAAAAATGCACATTACACATGGGTATCATGACTACACACCATGGGCATAATAATTCATGTATAATGTGCACAAAAACGTGCATGTGCATTATACATGGCAAATACGGTAATTCCACCCTTTAATAAATCAAACGGTAGATAATCTTAAAATCCCACATAGCAAATTTTCAGAAAGAACTGATCATTTCTGCAGGTGTTCATTTATTGCAGTGGTTCCCAACCACCAGGCAGTTTTGCACCCCCTACTGGGAAGAGACCCATGAAGACATCTAGTGACATTTTTGATCGTCACAACTTGGGGGTGCTGCTGGTGGGTAGGAGACCGTGGGTACACTAACGCCCTGCAATGCACGGAAGAGCCCACCACAACAAAGAATTACCTGGCCCACAGTGTCACCAGTGCTGAGTCTGAGAATCCCATAACTTATTGCCGTGTCCATTATGACGCAACAAAACACTCCCAGATTTTTAATTAAATAAAATGATTCATTAAATTTTATCTCACAGTGTTTAATGTGTTAGCTCATGGGTAGTCCCAGGCACGCGCGCTGCCTTGTTTGTCTCTTGTTGTGTTCTAGGCAGCCGTACTCCACAGCTGTAACTGTCCCTCTCTAACACTGGATATTGGCAACCAGCGTCTGATGTCCTGATTTCAGGGAGGAGAAAACATACATCGGGTCCTGTTGCAAAATGTTTTACATTGTCCAACAGTGTCCTAAAGAACTTGACACTGGTCAGTTTTCATTTCTAAACTTGGACCTGCTGCCACGACTCTTGTTAGTTTCCAGAAACTTGATCCTCAGCTCATTCTGTTACTCACTGTGGCCAGCAAAGTGCTGGCTTGTAAACCACCACAGCCGCGCTGTCTGAAACGCCTCTGGTGTTCAAGACACCAGGATCTGGGCCATTTCCACAAACCTGCCATCCAACACCCTGAACAGAATTTATTCCTAAACTCCTTAGGGACCGAAGGAGAATGGCTGCCTCCAGAGGTACTTTACAAAAGCAGTGGGTAATGAGGAGTGGAATTCTGATGTCTCGATTTTTTTTTTAATTTAAGTGTTATTCTCCAAAAAAAAATGGTTAGAAATGACCAGTGATGCCCCCTCTGGCCCAGCTTGGCCTGAATAATTGTACCTGTTCCCTACCTCCACTCTTTGCCCAGGCTTTCAGTTTAGCAAAAATAAAACAGAACATTCCACAGTTTGTCCCTCAGTCAAAAACACTTTTGACAAAGTGTCCATGCAACACCTTTGTAGAGGTGCACTTCTGATACTGCTTCCGTCATAAACACTGGATTAGAGGACACAGCCTCTTGCCAAGAAATTCTGACCAGCTATAAGCCATGGACCCAGCCAGCCTCTTTCCTTAACTAAGGCTGTGATTGTGCAAGAGCAGTTGGAGCATTGGTTGCTTTTATTAACTTCTAAATCCTTATGAAAAAAGAGAGGGGTCTGGCCCTAAAGCAGATCTCCACCAGCGGGCAGTGTTACACACCCCCTCCCAAGGTGACAGCTTCCTGTAAAAACTCTCGTGCTCCTTATTAATGTTAGTATAAAATACCAATGGGCAGAACCTCATTTCACCAAATGCGTTCCTTTTCTATTTTTGAACTGGCCAAAAGATTTTAGCAACTGAATTCAACAGACACTGCTACACATACACACACATGAAATATGTGGCTAATTGACGACCTTTACCTCAGGGAGAGTCTGTTCAGCTCTCCCCAAGGGAACGGCTCCAGTGGATCTAAACAACGGTCCAGGCACAGGGTGAGTCAGGCATTAGAGGAATGTCAGAGCGGGAGGGAGGCGAGCAGCCTCTTCTAGACTGCAGCCTGCAAATGGTGAAATGGTGAGATGCAACTTTGTTTTCTTTCCTCATGGCCCTAACGAAGTCTCCTGCCCTCTTTGAATATCTGTCTTCATTTCTTACATGGGGAGGATGCTTTCACACCGACCTCCCCCCATGCTACCTCACAAGTGTGTTGTGAGGACTAATGAAATCATGTCTACAGTGTTTTCGGTTTCTGCAGAAGAATATTTATAGACATTTTCAGTATTACATAGATATATAAGTGATCTCAGTTTCTTATTATACTGGTTATACTGTTTGTTATTATACTGGTGTGCTGTTTTTACTTAAATCTATAAAATTGCAGCTGCGTTGTAGCCACACCGGACAGCTGTTACAGCTCCAGGCCACCCCCCAGTACAGCCGACTGACTGAGGGTGGCCCTGCCTGGAACCACAACGGTCAGTTTCCATCTCCAGGGAAGGATGGCCTGAGACGTGCTCTCACAGGTGCGTTAGGATCCAGGAGGTGAGGGTAGCACGGTATGGATACCTGAGCACTAATATCAATAGACCTCTGGCCTTTACCTTTGGGGGGTCTTCAGGGTTCTTTGTGAAGTTGATTTTGGTTTGATATCATCTGTTTGCCCTTCATCTTGCTTGTAAGGGTGCGCAGTTCAATCCCCTGCATCATGGGAAATGAATTTGGGGTCGGATGCTAATTTGCACGTTGATTCACCTTCTTTGCCTTTAACCCCTTTTTGGCAAATGAATGTACCATTTCAACTTTGATTTTAAAGTGTTAGTTGATATTGGTAATAGTGCTAACCAAGAGACCAGTACCAGATTGTTTTCTTGGGATGAGTTAGCTGACATGATTTAAAGATGGAAAGACCTGCAAATTCTTTGATATTTGATGTGATTGTATCCATATTTGTTGTAAGATATGTTGCATACCAATTATATCAATTAAAGTTGTTGAAAGCTTGCTCTGACAGTGGTGATTCACACTTTGACGTGTTTTATTACTCAAGCCATTTAGTTGATATGCCCAATATTGCTTATATTAAGTAGCCCCGGCTTGTTCTTATACAAAGCTTATCCCACATCAATAAATAATATTTTCTGCAGAGCATGGAGGTCTCTCTGATCTTCAAAAAGAATTGAAGGATATCAGAAATGGAGAAACTTCTCAGGCAGTGATTTTACTCTTAACTATATACCATGCCTTATAAGATAAATGTAAAAAACATTTTGATTCAATAAATAAGTGGTGATGCATAATCAAGTCATATAAAAGCATATTGGCATTAGCAATACATTTGAGAGTACTTGGTTCATTCTCTTTCAAAAATTACATTCAGCACACCCATCTTTATCTGACAGTTAAATGGCAAGGAATATCAATCATCCAAAACATAACTTCAACCCCTCAGAAGTTAACCAAACATTATTCTGGTTCTGAAGAAAAGAGCAACACCAAAGCCTATGCATTTTGCAACATAGGAGAGAAATGGCACCATCTGCAAACTAGAGTTTATTGATTTCACAATGCATATAAATGTCAGGTCAAATTTAATAAGTTTAGGTAACTGACTTTCAGGAGCAGAGCATGAAGGATTGACTAGGAACAGTTAAGACCAAGATGGAATGGGAAGAAAGCACATATTTGGCATTTTTTTGAGGATCTAATATGGGCATGAAAGCCAATAAAAGCCCCATTATTCCAAATGTGCCTGAACAGGATTGGTCAGAAAGCATTTTAAATGCACATAGAAAGGGCTTGCTAGCAATATATGGTGTTTATACATTTTGAGTTCTTGGACTCAAATCAATATTGTTCCCACTATGATAGCTTTTTCAAGTCAGATCATAATCTGTTTTGATTATTTAGAACCTATCTACAATCTTTTCCTCTTCTGAAATTCAATAGTACTAACTAATCACTAGCTGAATTTTTATTGTTGTTAGAAAGCATTGAGTCATAAATGACACTTGAAAGGTGCTGATCAGATTGAAGGAAAAAACCTGTAAGATATATGATCTCTTCTCTTAAAGGAGCTAGTCTTTGGCAAATGCACAATGAACTACATCTACTGCACTAAAACAGCATTAATCAATTTGAGTCAACAAATGTATTGTTTCTCTTTTAAGTGAGACACTGAATATTTACTATTAAAAAAGGAATCTAATTAATATTCATTATGGACTTTGGTGCCTATGGGCATCGTCTAATGTAATCTCAGCATCAGCTATAGTGGTCCTTGCACTCTCTCCATCTTACAGATGGGGAAACTGAGGTTCCAGTTTATTAAACTCATTCGTTCATGTATGGAATCCTGTGTACTCCATAATGAATCAGGTGGCTCCTGCTTTCCATGTATTTACTATTTACAGTTTAGTAAATGTCAGAGGTGGGATTCAAACCAAGTTCTTCTGTCACCAGAGCCCTTGGTCTTTTTCCACCCAAAGAACTGGTATTTGATTTAAGTATAACCAGTTCTTCAGACTCTCACACTTCTTGCTAAAATGGAAACTCTACCCTTTGCAAAGTCTCCCTAAGCTATTTTGGGCTGTCCTGAAGGTGTCTGGCATGCAGCCCACTGCAAACCCAGGCAGCTCCCAGGCACATGTCTGCTGACTCCTGCTGCCCTGCTGGGTTGTGTCCTCTGCCAAGGGAGAGACAGCCTCCCCACCCCCACCCCTTCTGTTAGGGCACAGCACAGGGCCTTTGTCCTCGGAGTTTTAGTGAGTACCTCTCTCTCAGTGTCCACTGGTGTCCTCCCTGCTCTCCACAGGAGTTAGGTTTGAGCCCACAGCAGCCTGGTCTATGGATACTTCTGCCCTTGGAATCACTCTCACCCAAAGTTCCCATCATGGTGCCAACTTGTCTGTCCTTAATGTCATAATAATAATGATAGCATACTCTCACATAGCACTTACTATGAGCCAGATACTGTTCTAAGCACTTTACATGAGTTGTCCTCCCTATGAGGTAGATGTTATTAATATCCTCATTGTACAGATGAGAAAACTAAGAGCCAAAAAGGTATAGGAATTTGTCCACGGTCACACAACTAGTAAGTAATGGGGCAGAATTCATATGCCAGTGGTTGGCCTCCATAGTCCTCGCTCTTGACCACATCCACAAAGCCCTCACTCCATGCCAGAGGCGCATCTATGTCTGAACCCAGTGTGGGACAGCCTGAGGCCAGGGCTGTGCACCCACCAAAAGCAAGGTCCCTGCCTAAAGAAAGATTTCTAGAGTGGCCAAAAGGTGGGGGGTCATCCTTAGGGCGCCCAGCCTGTCAGACTCTGAACTGCCCCTGGCGTCACTCTGTTGAGTGGCATCCAGCCACTCAACATCCACCAGCTCAACAGCAGGGGCCTCCCGGCTGACCCTTCCCTTATCCTCAAGTGAATATGGCAGCTGCGATGAGACAGTTCAGACCACTGTCCTATTTTCCCACAAGCCATTTGTCCCTTGGCACCTGGAGAGAATTCACTGCAACAAACACCACTGGGCAGAGTGTTGAAAAGTTCAAATCAGTCAGAAGCCAGGTGTTATCAGGTGGTGTGAGAGGCAAAAGCCCAACTCAGCCCTTGAGCTAGGACATTCAGCTCTGTAACAACACTTCATCAAGGAAAACAAGTAAAACATTTCTCCATGTATTCCTGGGATAGATATTAAAGGCCTAATACAAAGTTAAAGATTTCATAGAGCATTAAGAGTCTCACGCAAATTCTACAAAAGAAAGAAAAGAAAAGGTGAAGGAATGCACTAGCTGGTAACTACTGAAATTCTTGGGAGTCTGGGAAGCTGCCACTGTCTCAAACTGCAGCAGTGAGCTGGGGGTTCTCAAGAGCTCAGTGGCAGCTGTGTCTGGAAAATGGCTTTGCCTTTTCCATGTCTCACCTGAGGAGCTCTCATGGACAAGCTCTAGTCAGAACCACACAGGACGGGATTTCAAGAAAGGCGATTCCTGGCTTCACCTCTGTATTGCAAAGGAGATCTTAGAAAAGGGTGGCAACAATGCTGAGCTGAAAATAAGCAAATGAGCACAGTCTACCTTTTTCACCCCAGGTGAAAACTTCCCACAAATCAATAAGGACATCACGTTAGCCCTAATGCAATGCAACCATCTCTTCCACAACTGAGGGTTCACTCCCATCTCCTAAAGAGGAAGTGTCACATAGGTTGCTTTAGCTCTGGGGATATTCACTCCTCATTCAGATGCAATCTTCCTTTGATGCCTATGACTTAAGTGCCAAATTACAAGGTTAACTACTTTATATTCAAGGCAGGGGGTGAGGGAGGAGATAGAACTGATAAGTATATATACACCTTTACACCTGTCAAAGCAAGAATGAGAATAAGCAGTTACAAAAGACTTTCTGCAACTAGTCATGTGGCCATGTTGTTATTTATAACTTTCTTCTTCCACCAGTCATTCCCTTTTTTTTTTCCTTTTCTATCCTCAGCCAACATCTCACCTGGTTGTGGCTCTATATGTGGTCGGTGACTTAACCTTCTGTAGAAATGTAAAACTTAGAAACTAAAAAAAAGAAAGGAAGCTACTAAACTGGATACTCCACTATTTCAATATTTTAAAAGAGCAGGGAAGGAAGGAAGGGAGGGACTGACATTGTATATAACAGGCCAAATGCTCTCCCCTTCCTACTTTCATTGCTATCACCCTCTCCTCCCCAATCCCTCTAGCCTACTTCACCCACTCCCAACAAATATTTTTTTAAAGTTAGGGAGAGAGAATAGAGAAGAGATTCAAAACCATTCTCAGCACTTAGCTTGCTGCACGCACAACCCTGGATCATTCCACACCTCTATCCACCCATCAAGTCCTCCCAGCTCTCCCATTTCTGCTTGGGGTCTTTGCAGAAATAATACATTCTTCAGAATGCCAGAACTGAACAAAAGACCTACTAGAAAGAGTAGGAGAGACTGAGAGCAGAATTTTTCTTCAATTTCTCCTCTTTCCACATGGAAGTTCCACATACCCCTCCTCCCTTCATATCCTCCCAGTCCCCCATCGCTCCCCTTGTGAGGAGACTCCAGGCTGTAGATAGTTTGCTGAGCCATGCAAGCAAACTCTCAAGCTCACTGAAATGAAATTAAATACATTTCAATGGTACAGGATAAGTAAAACCCAATGATAATTAATTTTAGGACCTGAGGCCCAGGGGCTGTTGGGGGGCTTATGCCATCTCCTCCTGAACAGCCATTTCTAGAAAGCAGCCAAACTCACTAAGCAGCCCTATCCAAGGGGGCATGACCTTGAGGCCTCTGCCTGACCCCTTCCAAGTGTTCCCACCTTCTTCAGGTGGAGAAGCTGGATTCATGTCTGTCTCCCATGGGCCAGTTTTAATGTTCCCACAATGTCAGGTACATCCTTGAGCTAGCTTCTTAGGGACTGATCTGCTGAGTCATCCAAGGGACTGACACGTGGCTCTTCAATGAAGAAAATCACAATCGTTCTTTCCCATTCACTCTGAGATTCTGGAAACTGAGGCAGCTTGTTCCCTGAAAAGTAACAGGCTCTCCGTCCAACCACAGTCAAAATCATAAGCAAAGGAGAACTGGTAGGCTAGGGATTCTGCCAACTTTCTGTTCTTCCCCCTTGGCTCCTCCCTCTCTATGCTGGGGTACCAGCTGTAAGAAGGGGGTGGAGCTGTGGGAAACATAGGCTGCTACCTGACAGAGGTTCATGGGATTTGAGGCCAAAATGAATTCATTTGCTCGGGGAGAACCTCAGTCTTTGCTCTGTTAAAGGCCCCATGAATTCTCCTAAGAAATGGACTGTGATAGAATTGTCACACCAAAAGCAAAATCCTACATTCATTCGTTCAGCATTCAAAACACAGTACTCATTATGCATTCTAGATGTATAAACAAGTGAAACAAAACACAATCCCTAAGTTAATATTCATTCTCAAAACGCTTTTAATCTTAAAATGGTCAAATGTGATTCCGTGCAGAGT